CTCTGAAGATGCAATATCTTGCTGTTTCAATATGTGTGTGTGTGTGTGTGTGTGTGTATGTTTAGATCAACAGCACCTGTAAGTCACATCTAGAATTAAATAACAACAATAAAGTGCTAGGCTGTAGCCAGGCTACCAGCACTGAACTGACTCCAAGGCCAATGCTAGCAGAACATCTGAGTAGATGACAGCAATGACGGTCAGATCAATGCAAAGTTCTGAAATAGATGATGCCTTTCTTTAGTACTTTTCGAGCCTATTTGCTCCTAGGAACCCAGTGCCCTATGATGTCTTCTGGGTACTCAGAGCCTGACACTGCTGAATATCATGGGAACCAATTCTACCAGGCAGCCCAGTGCTCTGGATCTTTTTTTTTCTGGTCCCTTCCATTAATATTTCCCCATTCTGTGTATCCCACTCTTCAATCGTATTCTATTTTATGGCTAGTCTGATACAATAATTCAACTGAGGAGTTAATGCTTTGAAAAAGTTCTATAATTTGCCCTTTCCAGGAAGCATCTGTATTTTACCAGGGAATTGTAATGTCTTGAATTACAGTTAATTCAGTCAGGGAGAATATTTGTACCCCTCAAATAATAGTATATAGATTATGATTATCTTTTTGGTTTGGATAAACGAACAAGATATATATATATATATATATATATATATATGTGTATATATATATATATATATATATATATATATAAATTAGATGCCACATGAAGAGGGGATGCAATCAACAAGGATTTAAGATCTGCTACCAGGACCTAGAAAAAGTAAGTCTTGAATAATTAAGCTTGCCTGTGGACTACAGGTAAATATAGGAGAAGAAAGATCAACCAACAGTAAAAAAAAATAAAAAATGGGGTAGCATCTTTGAGTATTCTAGAAAGTACAAAGGAACCTATATATTTAGATAGGTTCTACAAACATCAGCTATAGTCACAAACAAATGACTTGTCACAGAAGTAGGAAGAAGAACTTCAAGTCATTGGTTTTCTGAGTCATAGCCTTTTTGAATATAGATAAACAATATCTGTATGGCTTGTAATTTATACATGTACACAAACAAATGTATTAAAGGGCACATATCTCTACATTAGTAAGCTTCAGATGTATCAATTATACAACATTTAGGACTTCAAACAATTTGCCCTCTTGTCATTTTGCAACTGTGAGTTATTTATAGATAAAAGCAGTTACAATTGAATGGGGAAGAAAGAGACAAGTATGTGATAGAAGCAAAATCACATGGTTTTCTTCCCTATTCTTTATCTCAAAGGCATAAATTTATCTTTTTTGAATGTCTTCTCAAGAGAAACATTAAATACCCTAATTTCGTGGAATTACCAGAAGAAAATTAAAAGTTCATATGACATTAGATTTTAAACATTTGCCTCTTGGTATTCTGTCCCAACATTCCTACCTGATTTTTCCAGGCACTTAGTTCTCCTTGACCCAACAGTAATCAATCCATTCTAAGTGTGTCACTAAGCTTTGGAGAAAGTCATTTGCTGAGTACTATCACTGCTATTACATGCTACAATTTTCGGAAAGAGTTTCTATGGTTGTATCAGAGTATACATGCCCCTCAAATTTCTTTTCACTTGAAAATGTCAGAGCAGTGACAGATATAAAGAGTGGCAGGAGTGTAACATGGGGGTAAATTCTATGACAATAGTTAAATGAAGCCAGAGGCAATTGTTCCAGCTTTGAAGGTGAAGAGAACAGTTATTAAAATAAATATGGTCAGAGAAGTAAGAAGTCATACTCCCATTAATAAGAACTAGATAGCATTTTTTCTTCTTGGCTAAACAATAAAATTCCATAAGCATAAGCGGCACTACCTCTCTGTTCCCCTGACTAATTGGCAGAGTATTCTGCTGCATTGTAAGTTGTTCTCAAATCGCTCATTAAGGTCACATTTTGTTAGTATTTTTGGCTTACTTAGCAGATATCTCATCAATCAGATCCTATATGTAAATAGGTGTGATACCAGTGCTACTAATGGGCTCAGAAACAGAAAATTCAGAAAAGATCAAGCAGAAACAATTAGGAAGATGAACCTTTGGTTATAGGGTTTGGCACATAAAGTTGCATTTAAAGTTACCATAGGAACTTGAGTTACTGAGAAGCAGATGACACTGTACTCCATTTTCTTCCAAGACTGAGTGGTTGCACAAAGAAAGAATGGCAAAGATAAAGTTCCCACTGTTGTCCTGTTAAATATTAGTTTGCTGGCTTTCCAGTTCTAGTAATCGTGAAGAACCTTGTAAACTAACCCTCACTCAGGCAATAGTTATGAAATCTATGTTTATGCAGCTTTTACCCTGAAATACTGCCAAGAACATAAACTGTGGGGCAGCTAGAAATCAAGCAGAAAGCATGGCTTGAGGAGTCAAATAATGGAATTCAAGGATATCAGTTCAGTGGGAAATTAAAGGAAGAGATTCTGACAAAAGGGCAGTTACAAAGAGAGAGAGAGAAAGTTCCCAAATCTGCATATAAACTTCCCTCAAATTCTTGTATAATCCATGAACCATGCATTTATGGGTGATACTTCAAAAAGCCCAGGAAAAAGAAGAGCCAGGAGACTGAAAACACTGTATAGATATTTCAGCAGATAACCATTGCAAATAAGACAGAGTTTGGAGTTTTAGGGGGGCTTCATAAATACCTGGGCCTTACCACTGAAACCCTAGAAAGACCATGCCTAAGAGGTAAAAGTTATGTTACAATATTAAAGCATTCATCTTAGGACAAAAGGAAAAAAAAAGTTGAAGGACAGTCACACTAATTGAGCATAAAAGCAAACCTCCACAGGTTCAATTTGATCAACAAATAGCTTACAACAAATACACTTCAGAGGAACATAACAGAATCCAGGGACTCTACAATGAATTATCTAAAATGTTCAGTGTAAAAATAATAAAAAATTATAAAACCTACAGAGTAATGGGAAAATTTGATCTATAATCAAGAGAAAAAGGAGTTAGTGGAAAAGGAGTTCTAGATGACCAAGTTTATTGAATTAGCAGAAAAAGATTTTAAAGCAGCCATTAAAATATGCTCAGGGTCTTAGAAGAAAAGATTGTCAAATTGAGTGAACAATTGGGAAATCTCAGTGAATAAATAAAATCTACTTTAAAAACTAAATGGGCATTTGATAATTTAAAAGTAAAATACCATAAATGAAAAATTCACTTAATAGTTGATTGAGAATATAGAAGAAAGGGTCAGTGAAATTGAAGATATGCCAATCAAAATTATCCATATGAAGAAGAAGAAGAAAGATTAACACAAAAATGAAGAGAATATCAGTAACTTCCAAGACATTATTAAGCATCTAAAATACATGAAATTAGACACCTAGGAGGAAAGAATAGGGTGTAAAAAATATTGTTAAAATAATAATAAAAAAAATTTAAAAAGTAATTTAAATATTTCTAAATTTAGTTAAATACACAAAAGGCAAGCATTAACTTACAGATCCAGGAAGCTTAGCCAGCATAAAGTAGGATGAATTTAAAGCAAACCACATCTAGGCATTTCATAGTCAAATTATGAAAAACCAAAGATATTACATTGAAAGCATCAGGGAAATAAGACAGATTACATATAGGGAAAAAATGATATGTTACAGCTAACTTCTCACCAAAAGCAATTGAAACTGAAAGAAAAAGGAATCACATCTTAAAGTGCTGAAAAAAAACCAACTGTAAATGCAGAACTCAATATCCAGTGAAAATATTCTTCCAAATGAGGGTGATATAAAGATATTTTAAGATAAACTGTTACCAGACTATCTAAGCTACAAGAAATGCTATAGAAAGTTCTTACGACTGAGGAAATTATACTGGATGGAAACTCAGATCTACAGGGAAAAATGAAAATCATCAAGAAGGATAAATATAAGGGTAAATTTTAAAAATATTGTCTTTCTCCAAAACACTGTATTGTTGAATTTATAACTTATGTAAATATAAAACATATGATAATAATAATACAAAGAGTGGTGAGTATATGAAATTTTAACTTTCAAGGTATTTATTTTTTACGTGAATGGGTACAATATTTACTCTAAATGTACTGTGATAAGATTAAGATGGGTAGTCTAATCCTTAGAGCAGCTACTAAAATGGCACTAGAAGGTATAATTAAAAATCTAATAGAAGAATTTTTTAAAAAATTAAAAATTATTGAATTAACCCAAAGGAAAGCTTTTCATGAGAAGGTATTGTTTAGTCTATTTACATTTCATGTAATATTGATCCAGTTAGGTTTAAATCTACCATCTTGCTAGTTCTTATATATATTTTTTGTTTCTGTGATCCTCCTTTATTGTCACCATTTGGATTATTTCAATAATTTATACTAGATGAGAAAGCAAGGCACAACTTTATGTGGCCTTCAAGAGCCACACTTAAATATAAAGATGCATATATATCAAAAGTAAAAGAATATAAAATATATACAATGTAAATGGTAAGCATAAGAAAGCTGAAGTTAAGTGATTATAATATTATCAAACAAAATAGAATTTAAGAAAAGAGGAATTATTGACAAAAAAAGACATTTACCTTGGTTGGATGTAGTAACATCCTCTCTCAGTAAGTGAGAGAACAACTAAATAAAAAATTAGCGATCTGAAAACACTATCAACTAACTTGCCCCTATTAACGTTTTATAACACTTCACCCCACAACTGCAGAAAACTCATTCTTTTCTTGTGCACATGGAACTTTAAGCAAGATAGATAATATGCTGGGCCTTAAAATAAATCTCAATAAATATCAAAAGATTTAAATATTACAGAGAATTTTCTCCAAGCACAATAGAACTAAATTATAAATTAGTAACAAAAAAGTATCTAGAAATATCCTCAAATGGTTTAAAATTAAGCAGCCTACTTGTAAATGACCCTAGAGTCAAAGAATAAATTACAAGGGGAATTATAAAATAAATACACCTGGGCAATAGACACACAGGACACCAACATGGTGTCAGTGATACCAGTGAAGGAGAAGAAATTCATGGATGTCAAAATAGGGGAGCTGGATATTAATGTAGGATTTCACCCCTAAAGGCATTGTTGGAGCATTTCAAAGAGGTTATTACAAGTATGTCAATGGAAGAAAGGAAGCATCACTGGGGTTTCTATGGTGCTGGCAACTTACATGCTTTTCAACTATTGTCTTTCTTAGAAGGAACTCAAACATGAGAGGTTATGCAAGTACCACTGAAGAGAGCCCAGTGTGGAGTGCAACTCTACATTCCTGACCATGACCTTTTTTGCTTGGCACCCTTCCTTGAGGAACACAATGGTGTAAATCTTTTCATATCCTAATTGAGAATTAACATCCAATAAAAGATGACTGGTACATGTAAAAAAAAAAAAAAGAAAAAAATCCACCTGAAATGTAATGAAAATGCAATATAGCAAAATGTGTGGGAAGCAGCTAAAGCAGTGCTTAAAAGGAAATGTATAAATCTGAATATATAAAAAAAGCAGGTCTTTATATAAAAGAAAGGCTCAAAATTATTGATCTTAATTTTTACCTTATGAAGCTAAAAAAGAAGGGAAAGTTAAACCCAAAGTAGGAGAAAGAAAATAATAAAGATAGCAAAAATCAATAAAATAGAAAACACGAAGAGTAGAAAAAATTAACAAAAAAATCTGGTTCTTTGAAAAGTTTGATAAAATAGATAAACTCTGTTGTAGATCAATGAATAAATAAAAGGTCAAATACAAATTACAAGTATCAGGAATGAAAGTAGGGATATTATTGCAGACCCTACACACATTAAAATGATACCCAAAGAATATTATGAATAACTTTATGTTAATGAAACTGACAAATTGGTTGATATGGATTAATTCCTTGAATGACAAAAATTGCCAAAACTGACATGAAAAGATATAGAAAATTATAATAACTACATTTATGAAAGAAATTGAATGTATAATAAAAGTACAAAGAAAATTTCCAGAACACAAGTTCTTGTTGATAAATTCTGTGAAACATTTAAGAAGAAAATAACATTAATCTCATAAAACTTGTTTAGAAGATGAAGGAAGGGAAAATCCCTCCTAATTTGCTTTATGAGGTCCGAATAAGCCAGTTTCCAAAATCTGACAAAGGCACTACAAGAACAGAAAATAACAAGCTAGTGTTCTTCATGAATACCAAAAAAATCCTTACCACAATAGTAGGAAATTAAATACAGCAATATAGATAGATGATAGATAGATAGATAGATAGATAGGTAGATAGATAGATAGATAATAGATACATAAAGATAATAGAGGCATACTTCATTTTATTGTGCTTCTTTATTGTGCTTCACAGATATTGTTCTTTTTACAAATTGAAGGTTTTGGCAATCCTGCATTTTCCCAATAGCATTAGCTCATTTCGTGTCTCTGTGTCACACTTTAGTAATTCTTGCAATATTTCAAACTTTTTCATTATTATTATATTTGATATCATCATCTGTGATCAGTGATCTTTGATGTTACTACAACTCTGAAGGTTCAGATGATGATTAAGATTTTTAGTGATAAAGTATTGGGTTTAGTAAGATCTTACGGAAAACACTGAATGAACTTTTTGGCCAACCCAACATTTTTTAAACTAAGGTATGTATATTGTTTTTTAGACATAAAGTTATTGCACACTTAATAGCCTACAGTATCGTGTAAACATAATTTTTATGTGCACTGGGAAACCAAAAAGTTCATGTGACTTGTTTTATTGCAGTATTCACTTTGTTGCAATGGTGTGGAACTGAACCTGCAATAACTGAGGTCTGCCTGTACATGATGAGTAAGTGGGGTTTATTCCTGTACATGATGAGTGATGCAAGATTGGTTTAACATTCAAAATCAATCATTGTAACTCACCATTTTAAGGGAATAAAGAAGAAAAATCATGAAATCATTTCAAAAGATGCAGAAGAATAATTTGACAAATTCCACATTTCTTCATGATTTAAAAACAAGATATTCTTATATCTTAGGGATATAAGAATTAGGGAAGGAACTTAGTGCAATAAAAGGGATCTACAAAAAGCCTATAGCTAACATTATTGATACTGATGCACTATTGGATGCTTTTCCCCTAAGAGTAGAAATTAGACAAAAATGTCACCTATCAGCATATTTCTTCAATATTGTACTGGATGTCTTAGTCAGTTTAGTAAGTCAACAGAGAGAGACAAAAAACTTGAAAGTTGGAAGGGAAAAATTAAAACTTTTTAATTAAGGAAGGCATGATTATATATTTAGAAAATTGTAAGGAATGTACAAATTAACTACTAGAAGTAAAAAGTAACTTTATCAAGATCTCAAATTATAAGGTCAAGATACAAAAATTTTAAAAATAATTGTGTTTCAGTGTACCAGCATTACACAATTGGAAGTGAATTTTAAAAATTTATAGTAACATCAAAAACATAAAATAGTTAGGAACAGACTGAACAAGAGATGTGCAAGACATCTACATTGAAAAGTTCAAAATATTGTAAGATAAATGTAAACATTTCTAAGCAAATGGAAAAAAACTTTTTGGTTCTGGTCCAAAACATAGAGTTTAGAAGTCATCACAACAAGCAAAAGATGAATAAACTGAAAATCAACAACACTTATTAGGTCCATCAGACAATTGAGGTCACAGGGCAAGTTGCCAACCTGAAAATTGTAAAGATAGGCAAACACAGAGAATCACAGCTTAACAGGAGCAGAAGTCCGCTGCTGGAGTCAGTACTGTGATTGACAAATTGCTGGAGGCTCAGTGTGGATGAGCTTGAGAGTTTAAAAAATGGATGGCTCAGTCTTAGGGATGCCCCCACATTTTTTAAAGTTTTATCCAGGAGCCCCACTAAGTTTGCAGGGTTAATATGGGAGAAAATTTCCCTCATGCTCCTGTCAGAGGGAGGGGGAAAATAGCCATTTTGGAAAGCGCCCAGTGTATTCTGCTCTCCCTAACAAAAACATGCTCTCAAGGAAAACTATTTTCCCAGAACCTAATTAACTTGAGTTTTATTGGAGTGTAACTGACCTGGCAGAAGGGGAAATATCCAACTCCAGACACCTCTAGGCTTCCTGTCTCACCTAAGGAGGAAAAACAAGATGAAAAGCACTTATGAAGGTCATTGCCCGGGAACATAGGCTCACTAAAAGATTGAGACCTAATCATAGAACTATATGTTCTCCTCTCTGCCATCTTACATCACATCAGTTGGACTCTTATATAATAACAGAAGATTACAGCTGAAAGAATTGCGAGTCTCAGACTCTATTTAAAAAGGAGTCTCTAGAGAAACACAAAGACAACAGGGGAGACAAAAATCAAGGACACTAGAAAAAAATTTAGCTCTAACACCTACGGCTACAGCAACAGTGAATTCAGCCTAATTCCTAGCCAGATAAACATAAATCTCACACTTAAGGCATATTTATTTGATTCATCATGCCTGACTATCAACAAAAAAAGATAAAGCATGTTAAAATGCAAAAAACACCATCTGAAAAGACAAAGCATTCAACAGAATCAGACTCAGATATGATAGGGATTTTGGAATTATCAAAACAAGAATTTAAAATAACTATGATTAATATGCTTAGAACTTTAATGGAAAAAGTGAACAGCATACAAGAATAGATGGGTAATGTAAGCACAGAGATGGAAAATCAAGGAAAGAATCAAAGGAAATGCTAAAAATCAAAAACATTGTAACAAAAATGAAGAATGTCTTTGATGGGCTCATCATTAGACAGGACAAGGCCATGGAAAAATGTCAGTAAGCTTGAAGATATGTCAATAGAAACTTCCCAAACTGAAAAGCAGAAAGGAAAAAGAACAACAATGAAAAGAAAACAAAGAAAGAAACAGACTATTTAAGAACCAATTACAAAAGGTGTAACATACATACAGTGGGAGCCCCAGAAGGAGAAGAAAGAGAGACAGGAACAGAAGAAAAATTTGAAGTAATAATGGCTGAGAATTTTTCAAAACTAATGACAGACCTAAATAAATTGAGATATATACCATATTCAAAGATTGGAAGGGTCAGTATTGTTAACATGTCAACAATCCCCAACTTGATCTAAAGACTCAATGCAATCCCAGTAAAAATTCCATTTTAATAGCAATTAACACATGGATTCTAAATTTATGAAAATAAAAGTAAACTATAAGAACGAAAACTATTTTAAAAATAAAAACAAAGTTGATGTGTAGACTATTATTGACTGCAACCCTACTATAAATCTATAGTAATCAAGAGAGTGTAGCACTGGCATAAGGATAGATGAGCTGATCAATGGAAAACCTGAATAAACTCACATGTATATGGTCAATTGAATTTTGAAAGTATTTTCAAGGCAATTCAACAAGGAAAAAATCCTTTCAACAAACTGTGCTGCAACAATTGGATAAACATATGAAAAATGATCGACCTTAAACCCTTCCTCACAGCATACACACAAATTAATTGGAGATGATTAGAGATGTGGCATAAAGCTAAAACTATGAAACTTCTAAATGAAAACACTGGCAAATATCTTTACAGTTTTGAGATGGGCAAACATTTAAGAGAGGACAAAAAAGCAATAATCATAAAATAAAAACATTCATTAGTTGAATTCATAAAAAACTTATAAAAATGAAAATATCAGAAGAGACTGGGAAAAATATTAACAATACATATAGTGGACAAAGGACTCATATGCAGAATATATAATTAATGCCTACAAATCAACAATAAAGGAAAACAACCCAACAAAATGTCAAAAGAGTTGAGTAGTTACTTCACAAATAAGAAGTTATTCAAAGGCCAGTAAGCACATGGAAATGTACATAACATCATTAGTCAACAGGGAAACACAAATTTAAACCACCTAAAGGTTCAAACCATCTGATATACCATTGCACTCACAATAGAACCACAATAGAATGGCTAAAATAATAATAAAAAAAAAAAAGTAAAAAGAAAATACCAAATGTTGGTGAAGGTGTAGAATGATTGGATCTCTCATATATTGCAGGTGGGAGTGTAACATGTTACAACCACATTGGATAACTATTTAGCTATTTTTTGTAAAGTCAAATACAAAATTACCCAATGACCTGCAATTCTACTTCAATATACTTACCAAAGAGAAACAAAACTACATTTCTATAGTAATGTTCTTTGCAGCTTTATTCATAATAGCTTCAAATTGGAAACAACTAAAATATCC